ATAATATATATATATATATATATATATATATATATACACATATATTCTAGTTAGTTTATTGACTTATCGTTAAAAAATATGCGTAACTACAATGTAAAATGGACTTGCAACAACACTGAATCCGCCCAACACGTGTTTCGGGTGCAATATATTCACATCGGATGCACTCGATTGTTCGGTGAAAGTCCACTGAATAGCTGATATCACGAAGAGATGATGCTTGCAACATCTCTTGTTCGCGGTTCCGTGTGAAACTAATGAAAGAGATTTAACGATCATAGTATCAACAAGGATAAAAATAAAATGTGTAAAAATGGAATTACAATGTGCAAATATTTATATATTCTATTTTTATAATTTTATAATTTCGTAAAGAAGAGAAATATTGTTATTACTGTGTTTTATTTATTTACTGTATGGATTATATTAAATTGACGCAAATAACTTTTTATACCTATCTAAATCTAATAAAATAAAAAAAATTGCATGATTTCGAAATGTTGTGTAGCAGTCAAAAGAATCAACGGTGTATTCCAAAAGATTTTCTTGCTTAAGAAGAAATTTCTTAAATTTTTATCTGAAGAAATAGCTTCACCTTAAAACAATCATTTAGAAAACATGATTTCTTCATTTCAAAACAACTTTAAAATATTCAGTCGTTCCACTTTTTAAAGCAGTACTTCGAAAAATCCAATAGCTTCACTTAAAACGGATAGAAAACGATAAATCTCTTGCATCAAGCACCAGTATTACTGGCATATTATAAAATAATCAATAGGAGAGGAACAATCTGTTTTGGTACTCACTTTCTCATCTCTCGAGAGAAATTCCCACATTGGTATCGCCGAGCCGGTGACTCGCATCGTCATGCAGCATCCAAGCAGAATGCAGATAGTGACCTTCGATGCGATGGAAGTCCCGCTGATCATCATCATCATCATCATCATCATTGTACTCGCTTTTCTTTTCCGTTTTCCGCTCGTTCTCCGCGTCTCGCGACACTCGCTTCACGCCGGCAGGTACGATCACACGTGCGGTCACTCGTCGCAATTGTCGCCGTCGCGATCGTTGTCAAAACAACAACCAACAACCAAGCTCGAGCTCGTTCTCCAAATCGTGCTGCGATCGATCGTCTCGTGTATACTGAGCCTCGATCTCGTTTGCCGCTTCGTTTTATGTTGCCTCGCACGTCCAGTGGCGACCACGCGCCTCCGAGTGCCCCCACTTCGTTTTCACATCTATCCGGGTTTTGTACAGACGTCAGTGGCAGAGGAGCAGAGTCCACGGGATCCGGAACGTATTTACACGCTCTAGGAAATCACGCTGACGCGACGCAAATATGCGGGGAGCGCGAGAAAAAAAAAAAGACGAAGGCATTCCTTAATTTCATTCGACGCCGAAATTCCTGCGCGCGACACACGCGCGAAATCGAAGAAGGCCCGCAGTTCTCTTTCGCGGACCAAGATGTAAAATTGAGATTTATTAGCGTTGTAAATTGCCTGTTAGACGGTCAACTTGCCTGTTACTTCACATGATCCAACGTGATCCAACGCAAATTCAAAGACGTATTTTTTTCTGGCATTGCAAAAAGTTCAATAGAACATGCGAATAATCTTTTACTTACCTTGCACAAAAATTAGCATAAAAAGATGTAAATATAAAAAGATGAGTGTAAGAAAACTGATAAAGAGTACGTAATACTGTCTGACAGTTTGTAATCTCTCATTGAGTCAAAGAGAAGATTTTGAACAGCAATCTGAATATTTTGATGAAAAAATTCAAAGTCCTTTTAGTAGTAGAAAAATATACACTTCAGCAAGAAAAAGATTCTGCATATTTTAAAAGATATATAATTTAGACGAATGTTGTATTAAAATTCAAATGAGTTTTGCACAAGCTTAATCACGAAATCACGTATGCGCTCTGAGAAATTCCTGACCCGATCAAAGAAGAGATTTCAAATGGCAGTTTCGGCTGAGACTTCGATCGAAAAGTTCAAAGTCCTTTTTAGCAGTGGAAAAATATACATATTGACGAGAAAAAGATTCCACATATTTTAAGAGGTGTAATTTACCATAATGTTGTATTAAAATTCAAATAAGTTCAGCACGAACCTAATCGTGAAATCACGTTATTTTACATAGCAGTATTTACACGCTCTAGGAAATCCCTGACATGATCAAGGATGTAAAAAAACGCGCACTTCTTAATTTTATTCGGCGCCGGACCGAAATTCCTGCGCGCGATACACGCGCGACGTCGAAGAAAGTTTACGGTTCTCGCGACGACGGAGTGAAATGAATGATACTCAAGGTGATTCATTAATGCCATATTTGTGCCTATTAAGTATGCGTCATTATTATATATTACTTTATGCCGATATTTACGCGCTCTAAACGAAAATCGCGCGACGACGCGACGCAGGTATGCAGAAAGCGCAAAAAGGCGCTCTGTAATTTTATTCGGCGCCGTGTCGACATTCCTGCACGAGTCATCGGGACGATCGCTTTCCGGGGCAGAAAACCTCCCCTTTTTAATTTTATTTAATTGAAAAATGTCTAATTGAGAAGTGTAATACGATTTCCTTCGTAGGGACAAATTGCATTGTCATTAGAAAGAATGACAATGATTCAAAAAATCGGAGAAATATTATTAGATGCTTTTTGAAAAGTTGAAGATTACTTGGAATTTATCAATCGATCGCGTTAAGTAATTTTATTTAGTTTTATGTAATTTTATTTATCTATATATAAAGAAGCGGTGGCTAGAAAACATGTTTGGAAAGGGGCTCGATCTTGCCTGTCCGGTTCTTCTGCTTCATCATCCTTAGATCACGTACCCTGTGATTTAACCGGAACCCTAAGGGCGATTCTTTTTCCTCCGAGTCTGTCTGATTCTACTCGATGAAGTTCTAAAAGTTATTTCCACAATAGTTTTACAATCGTCGAATGCCTTTGCGTCATCGCGTGCGCGATGTGGAAATTTTTAGTAAATCTAATAAAACATTGTTAACGACTTGAAGTGTGTTACTTCAGAAAGATAAACCGGCCAAGGTTTAATCGACTTCATTTAACCCTTGGCTATCACGTGACTCGTAAATTAAAATAAAACATATGCTCGAGCTTAAAAAAAAAGAAAAGGTGTCAACGGAAAAATTAATATAAATCACTAAAGATAAATTAAAGATAAACTATCGGCCTTCTATTAGTGGATGGTCTTTGATAGATTTTGTGAGTGCATAAAAATTGAGTATAAACAAGAAAAATTTATGACAGCAATAAAACAAGTAGATCTCGTTCAATTCTTTAGTAAAGTATAAATATATTTGTTTGGGATGACCACAAATTCCACAATTTGTTCTTTTACATAAAATAAATTTTTGAGCTTTGTGAGAATCACCGTTTTGTGCAAAAATTTGGTTAAAATTAAATATCTTAATGCAAATTAAAATAGAAGTTATTTTTTCACAAATTAGTTACCCATAACGAATTTTGTCATAAAATAATACTTTTGCTACCACATTGCATTTTTGTTAAGAATGAGCTACTTTGCTTTAAATTAATTTTAGAAGGAAATATGCATCTATATAAATAAGCTTTCGAATAAAATTTCAATTTTATTATGAAAAGAATGAGCTTCCTTATATCATCAAATAAATAATTATGTTACAAATAGCCGCTCTCGTATTGTATATATAGAAGTAAAATCTTACAGGAATCTGAGGAAATAACCTTATAATCTTGCTGCGAAAATCCCTTTTTACTTGCGATATTTGGAGATAAAAAACAAGTGTATGATATGAGTACGCGTTGCGGTAATTTGATCGCGCGAACGGGTATTACATCGAGCACGATCAAATAAACGCGTGAGAGGAGTATCAATTAAGAGCGACACCGATTGTGTCGCCCGTGTGCGAGCGTATCAATGTTGGTCCGTCAGGAAGGCTTGCGGACAGGACAGGCAATGCGTAATTCGTAACAGCGCGGTACAGACATAACACCCGTTGTGTTATTTATTCACCGTGCGCCCATGGCATACGAGAATAAAATTTGTACATCATTTCCCAATTTCACTTTCACATTCGTCCCTTTCCGTGCGAACGACCGGCGGACACCATACAGACATCGTCCGGATAACTTATACGCGGAACGATTCGGACAGTCGAGATCGCCTCGAGATATCGCAGATATCGTGCGCGAAAAGCAATTCTGATTATTACGCAACATTGGAAAACAATTTCCATTAAATGTTAATTTTTCGAAGGCAAGAAATTTATTTGGGGAAACTGTGAGACTTTTCCCTTACAATTAGTTTCGTAACGTGTAGTTACTCGCTACCTCTAATTAAGGAGATTTATTTCTGAAGATCGATTATATAATCTTCAGGATTAGAAAAATCGATTTTTAAGATCTTTCATCGCGAATATGCGATTGTTCCATTTTAGAATGGAAACGGGATATGGTTACTTTTTTTCGACGATCGAACAAACATTCCGCGCCGCGCTTTGCGGTTTCCACGCTCGCGGAATGTGTTCGATTTGCTACGCGGGAAACTTCACGCGTAGCAAATCGAACAATAGCATTGCGATGCTTTTCCGTGGCGATGACCAACGTGAGAACGGCAAACGTTGCCGCTCGAGCGTGCTCACGTGCGTATTCTGCGTACCACCTCGCGTGTGCCGGGATAACATACCTCTCATTATACGTGCAGTTATGCGGTGCGAATGTGCCGTCTGCTTTTACCGCAACGCGGGTGCCGTTCTCAATAATCTTTCAGATCGGTAATTTCATCAACCTGTTTAACTGCGTCGAAGCTTTGCGTCGCGTTTATAATCGCGGATTTTAAGGAAACCCGAACTCAACGATTCCCTCTTTGCATTTTGTTAGAGGAATAATATAAATTTCTAATTGTATCAATATTATGGATTTTAATGATAAATAATTATTAACAAGATTGATCTTTTTTGTTAAAAATCAAAGAATAAATATGTCTTTGTGTCACATAAAATAATAAAATCTGTAGGACCATTAGGTAGTAATATAAAAAACTTTCATTCAAATAGTATCATTCCTTTGCACAATTTTGTTAGAAGAATGATACAAATTTCTATCTAATTATATCAATATTGTGAATTTTAATGATAAATAATTATTAATAAGATTGAAAATCTTATCTTTGTTGAAAATCAAAGAATAAATACATGTGCCTTTGTGTCATATAAGATAATAAAATCATGTAAGATCATTAGGTGATAATAAATAACTAACATTTATTAAAATAGTATCATTCCATTGACGGAATTTTTACTTAAAAAATGAAATGCTTCTGCTGTCAATAAATTAACATGCCTGAGTAAATTAAATATATCTAATATGTATAATGTTTGTTTTAATAATCATTTAATAGCTAATAAAAGATAAACAGAACAGTGAAATAAAATATCATAGTAATATAGAGATATTAAAAAAAAATATTATATTATGTACTGCCACATAAAAAATATAGAAAAATATAGCGCAGGATAGATTTGCGAAACAGCTGGCAAAACATTTGTACCGGTGTACTAATAACACTAATATTCAAGGTAGTCAAGTCTCACCCTGTAAAACGGTAGTAGGCTATGTCGCGCATATGGCTTCTACTTTACATATCTCGCATTTTATGTATGCATTTTATGCGCAACTAATAAATTTATTGTGTAACAAGAGACGGGATTAATTCGCTTTTGCACGTAACTGCTCTTTAATTGGTAAGGGGAGTATCATCGCGATGAAATCATCATGGGATTCAAATCGTCTGGAAACTGATGAAGGTATTCTGTTACCATCGCACGCACCGTGAAATTTGAATTGAATTGAATTGGCCGTGTCTCTAATTATATTTCTAGGATAAATCCTATCTCCTTGCAATTAAACGAACGTAACAGAGTAGACGGCGCACATTCAGGGATTCATCTTTTTCTTCGATCTCGAAAGCTTTAATAAAGTAAGGAAAAAATAAAAAATTTGAAAGAGAAATGAATAAACGCAACAAAGCAAGGCTTCGGTTGAAGGCAATGACGGATTGGAAATCGCGCAGGAAAGAAATGCCGTCGTCGCTCGGCTGCGAAACTTGGTTGATCGGGAATCGACCAATTAAC